TAGTTTTCATTTACTATACATACCTAATCAAATATTTTCGAAGTCGGTGTGCTTTGGCTAAGTAATTAAAGCCTACCTATTAAATACATACCTAATCAAATATTTCGAAATCGGTGCCAGCCCATACAAAACAAAGCACACCGACTTCGAAAATATTTGATTAGGTATGTATAGTAAATGAAAACTACCAATCAGTTATTTTTTACTTTTTAGTGCTTTTATTTGAAGTCGGTTTTTATTTTTTTGTTAAAATTTTTTTATTTTTCCCTTTTTAGTGTAGACAGTAGTAGCAAAGTAAGAATTCTAACGTATTAGGCTTGTCAAATCAAACAAAATAAGCCCAAACTCAAAGTATCTACTATTAGCCGTTGAAGAGTTCCACCTATCCACCTTCTGGTCTTGCCGTCAGATCAGGTCAACAACACCGAACCACTATACTATCAACGGAAATAGAAATACTTGCAAACTTTCAAGTCAATATGACAATTAGAAGTAGGTTAAATTCATCATTTGTTGTTTTTCCACCCTTAGGGGTGGTTTTTTTTTTTGGAATTTAAATGGGACCAATCTGGAAGTATACCCTTTCAAACAAAATAAAAATTGTCCAAATCGGTTAATAAATGACGGAGTTCTGAGGTAACAAACATAAAAAAAAAAAAAAAAAACAAAAAAAAATACAGTCGAATTGAGAACCTCCTCCTTTTTGAAGTCGGTTGAAAATACATATATCGATGAACCATTGAATGACATTTTAGACATTAGTAAGCATAGTCATCATATTTTACATCTTTTAATTTAAAATATCTGTATTTATTATAATAAATTAAAATAAATGAATTAAAGAGGCAATAATAATGTGTCATATAATAATTATTTTTTAATTTGATTTATATAAATACGATGGCATTGATGGCAACATTCTGTTGGCCTATAATAATGTTAATGAACAAATAAATATCGGGTATATATTCCATTAATATATAATAAATATTATTTTGTAAAGATAAAAAAAATATTAAGCTAATTTAATTAAAGTGATTTTGTTGATTCTGTTATTGAACTATTTTAATTGGCAATTGATTGTCTCGGGACAAAAATGTGACACTGTCCTAATATTGCTCAGTTCTTAATAAACACTAGCGGCTCACCCTCGCTTCGCTCGGGTTCGTCGCTAGGTACGTTTTAAATAGATATAAAAAGAAAAAATCTTTCTTTCTCACATTTTAATTATATGTTTTAATACTTACCTATTCCGGACTAAGAGAAATCCAAAAATTAAAATATCATAAAAATTGGAACGCGGTCGAACGGGATAAAAAGTATCCTATGTCCTTCTCCTGGCTCTAAACTACCTCCCTGCCAATTTTCAGCTAAATCGGTTCAGCCGTTCTTGAGTTATAAGCGAAGTAACTAACACGACTTTCTTTTATATATATAGATTTGTGAAATTAGGAAAAAGAAAAAGTGATTGCAAATTGTGAAAAAGTGAGTGTTGGATCGTGAAAGTAAAATAATTAGTGCAAGTGGTAAAGTGTTTTATTACAAATCGCCAACCCAGAAGTTTAGTGCTAAAACATTGTTAGATTTTGTGTAATTTATGTGTTGAAATAAAATGATCTTTTTTATTATTACAATGGAATAATATTCCAAAGTATATAAATGTGGTATAAAATAAAAAATTAAGTACACATAATAATTATAATTTTTGCATTTATATTTTTATGTGATTTAGAAAATATTTTTATAAATTTATTGTCATCAGATTGTAGGATACTGTGATAAAAGTATTTTATGTTATTGTACTGTACAAATAACACAATTCGTTTAGTTATTTCGTCAAATATCGATATATTTTTCGACATTGTCAAGCACTAGTCGATGTCAAATGGACTCAATCGACAGTTTCGTCATTTGTTCTGAATGGTATAATCCAGTCATTTTATGGTGGTTGTCAGATGTCAACAATACATAGAAATATCGACTATATTTAACATAGTTGGATAATATGACATTTTATTTTAAATTTAATTAAATTTTGTGATAAATAACAATGAATGTAATAAAATAATGTATTTACAAGTGAAAAGAAATAGTGCTGCTTCCGCCGTTATAGTTTTTACACCATTTAACAGAACATTTAGTCATTTTTGGGAGATGTTTTGTTGACAAGTAAGTGCTTGAGACTGACACAAAAAACAAACGACCTAGGCTAAAACTCCCTGGTTACTGACATGACCGTTAAAGGTACGTCCGCTTATATGTCTGGTCCAGTGGTTAATTCGTTCATGGTTGTAAATTATAATAGATTTTACGAAATAAAATGAAACTATTCAAATAGACGTTTTATAAGTAATTTTGAATCGTCAATTTAATTTAAAAAGCGACAGTAATCAGTCCGCGAGGAAGCTACCACTGGCTGGGAAAGCAGTTCTGCAGAGAAGAGCCGGCGAGAAACTAAACAGTTGCTCTTTTAAATATCGAAGTTACAATAATAAACATAATAAATATTACAGACTATAGCATTGCCCGCGGCTGCGCCCGCGTTCAGATGACCAAAAACCAAATTCTTAGATCTTACATATTAGTATACTCTTACAATGCAGTTTTTGTATTTTTCTCAGAAATGAGATATTTTCTTGCGGCTAAAAGTATCCTATATGTTAACCCGGATAACCAGCTATCACCATATTAAATTTCATCAAAATCCCTCCAGTGGTTTTTCTGTGATGCGATAACAGACAGACAGACAAAAAATCTAAAAACTATAGATTCGGCCTCTATATCGATAATAATGTTTATTTCAATAAGATTTTCCAAAAAATATTTAATGTACAGATTCGGCTTAGTTACTACAATTTTATTATGTATATAGATAGCCTGTATATGAGTCAATATATCTTGATTGAACACATTTCCATCAACAAGAAATTCTTGAACAGAGTAATACGCAGTAAATCTAGGACAGTTTGTGGAATCTTATTATACGATTATATGCGTATATTCAGGCCCATTAAAGATTTATTCACCTTTTGGAGTTGATCTGGCGGTAACAAGTTTATTTTAATTCGTAGTGGTTATTGTGTGTCTATCACTGCTTATTACAGCAAAATAGACTTTTGTATATTGCAATTAATGACGAATATTTTACAAGGAAATAATATAACGAGGAGACAAAATAAATCTAGATTATACGTGGTATGGCTAAATCGGCTATTTATGGAAGGCTCATTACGCCTATTAGGTATCACAAGTTCAATATATTAGCAGGTGGCCTGCCTTGAATTTATATCCTACATATGATAATGCATTATTTTTCCTTATTCATAAACATTTTGTTTAAATATAACTTTCTTTGTCACGTCTTTAATATTTTATATTAAGCTACTAATAAAATAAAATTAGAGGAAGTAGACACATATGTACTGTTTTGTATAAAACCAATAAGTATCTAAATAGCGAACGTTTTTTTATAAGGATTATTATTATTAATAATGAGATAAAAAATAAACACCAATCAAAGCATTTTATTAAACAACTAGCATTGCTCGCGGTTCCGCCCGCATTCAGATGACCAAAAACTAATTCTTAGGTTTTACATAATATTTGTATACTCTTACAATACAGTTTTTGTATTTTTTTTCTCAGAAATTAGATATTTTCCCGCGGTAAAAAGTATCCTATATGTTGACCCGGATAACCAGCTATCACCATACCAAATTTCATCAAAATCCCTACAGTAGTTTTTCTGTGATGCGGTAACAGACAGATGGAAAGACAAAAATTCTAAAAACTATAGATTCGGCCTCTATATCGATAATAATGTATATTTCAATAAGAATTTTATTATATACTTAAGACATCGTTCTTTATAAGTTTGCGTCCAATTTGGCAAAGCTAAAGTGAAATCCCTACAAAGTTTTTATGAAACTTCGAGAAAAGTAACAAAGAATAATGTAGAGTCGTATACTATTATGAGATATAAATCATAATAAACGAGTTAAGCCTCCGCAATGTTTACGTATCGTGACAAGCATACTAACGCCTTTGTTTTACTTTAAAAGATAATAAAACTCCGATTTTTCGTGTCATATCATCATGTCATAGAAAGCAAATAATAAAAATAGAGAATATAGTTTAATTAGATATTTATGAAGTTATCACATGGGTTTATATTTCCTAGTCCTCTTAATCAGCCTTTAGACTTTAGGTAGAAGTAAAAAAAAAAGCAAAAAGGAAAGAAGGGTACTCCTTATAAATCTGATTTTTATGATAATAAATTATTGATTTTAGTGATAAATCCTTTATTTATCGTATCAAATCTGTAAAGCCTTTACACTAGTATAAGTCTAGTATAGAGCTAGTTAAAAAAAAATTCTCACGACTAGGACGATCGAATTCAAGCAATTATTTACTTGTGTTTTATGTAAATAATTATTCCTTCAGTTAAGCACCCTCTTTACCATTTTCCATGAGTGTTATGAATTATAAATTACTTGCGTCATATTTTATTATATAAATCGATTAAAATGATTATTAAAGTGGGGAAAAAACCTTAGTGTTTTGACCTTGAAGTTATTTATTATAGCCATAATTATTATAATAGTCTGATTTGATGAAATTTACTTTAAAATTATATGATTTATATGATTTATGGTGATGTGATAGCAAATTATACTACATATGTCATCAAGATGTTATGTCATAGAATACCTACGGAATAGTGATGTACAGACAATGAATAATAAACATAGGCTTGTTGCATTTGTAAAGCAAATACCTACTTCTGAATAAAATATGTTACCAAGAGCTTCCAATTAAGGAAAATTCCTAATCAGAAAAATTATTGCTAGAAAGGTAAATAAATAGAATAGAATTGCAAAATCATAACATATTATTTAAAAAAAACTGTATAGATTTTGTTGTTTTCTTGTCATACATTATATTAATTAAATTATAAGTATATTAATTAAATTATAAGTAATACATAAAAGAACTCTTACCTGGGGTAAATTTGACTCCGAACCATACCGACATGGGCATGATGCCGTGATGAATGACGTGCAACTTCGACACATGGTCATTTTTCTTGCGCATCACGAAGAAAATCTTTAACCGAAATATTTTATTAAACTATACTAGAAATTATATCAGATTAATTCAATTAATTCGAATAGTTCAAAAAATACGTTTTACTTATATTATCTTATTAGTTATTACCTACACCTACACTGCTATATATATATATATATATATATATATATATATATATATATATATATATATATATATATAATATTATGTATATTAATATTTACTTTAGGAGCTGTTATTCGTTAGAAGAGTAGAGGTGCTTAATTTTTTCTATAGGATCATAACTAATAAAAAAATCTAATCATCATCATCAGATTTAATTTATTTAATTGTATTGTATTCTAAATGTTCCAAGGCAACATATTTTCATATTAAAATATCTTTATTAATTAAACTTTTTTTTGCCTACAAGAGCTAACCACTCACGCCTAGCGATGTATTCACATGCTTACTAGATACCTATTAACCCTTTAAATATATGGAAAAAAATATATAGTTTCCTGCTTTCGTAAGAAAATTCTTTGATAATTGCATCAAATAACTGACTTATATTAAGTATATTTAATTCAAATAGCGTCAGCTACTTTGGAATGGCAAAAAAGGAAATATTTTACCACCCTCATTGTTAAACCTTTTCAATAAAAAAAAATTGTTGACAATTTGAATTGTGAAAGAAATCGCGTAACATACATACTTATATAAAAAAAACAGTTGAATTTAATAGGTTTTTTAAGTCAGACAAAAAACTTAGGTATTTATTGACTTCCGTATTTATTTATTACATTAAAATTCGGAAGTAGGTAAGTCGTAAACATTAAAAATAAGTTCTAAGTATTATTGAATATTCTCTAACGTCTTATTTTTGTTTTTATCTTGTCGATAACAAAAAAACCTTTACTAAATAAAATGAATAATATAATCTATAGAAATTATTTGATAATAATTTGAAAAAAAGTTATAGGTATGATGCATCTTGCTATCACTCACCGTATCGAAGAATTCCGTAAACTTGGAGAAGTAGTACCACCAACAGCCGTTAACTGTCTGAAAATAAATAACCATGTAAGTACAGACGTACTAAAATTTCTCAAATATTTTAATATAAAATATATTAATCTATACATATAATAAAATTGTAACTAAGCCGAATCTGTACATTAAATATTTTTTGGAAAATCTTATTGAAATAAACATTATTATCGATACAGAGGTCGAATCTATAGTTTTTAGAATTTTTGTCTGTTACCGCATCACAGAAAAACCACTGGAGGGGTTTTGATGAAATTCGTTATGGTGGTAGCTGGTTATCCGGGTCAACATATAGGATACTTTTTACGGAAAATGTGTTATTTTTGAGAAAAAATACAAAAACTGCAATGTAAGAGTATACTAATATGTTAAAAAAATGGTTTAAGGCCATCTGAACGCGGGCGGAACCGCGTGCAATGCTCGTAATTAATAAATCCGTACAACAAAAATATGAAGACCTTTTTTACTACCTACTAATTTTGTGTTTTTAGTATAATAATTATACACGTGGAAACGTTTTTATTTCTTTGTCCTTCTTACAAGTAAGGACGGAGTAAATGATAACATGATTTTTCCTTAGAGGTTGTTTAAAAGCAGGTTGAGACAAACACCACTTTTCGTTGCGATAAGTTAAATAGTTTATGGAACTATATGGGCACAGGATGAACCGCATCCTTAAAAATGTACATACATCCACAGATACGGATACTCGTCCATGTAAAGCCGTGGCTATCTACACTTTAATATTCATTCAATTTATGAAAAATAATAATAAAATAAAAAAATATCCAATCAAGATCCGCTACAAAGTTAACGGATACGGATACAGATTTTTTTTGTCTCTCGGATATCCGCGGATACAGATACGGATATTTGGCGCAACACTATGGCATATGAATATAGTAGAGACTTACCGCCACTTCGCTCGGCTGCGTCCCTGGAAGCCTATAGTATGTCTTTATACTAAATTTCATCTAAATCCGTCACAAACATACGAACATTCGCATTTAAAATATTAGTAGGGCTGGACTTTTAAAAACGCTAGTAAGAGACGGGGCTGGCAATACGATTGCTAAATGATTTGTATTATTATGATGATTGATAAAAATATTGATTAATTCACTTAAGTAATTACTATATAAAGCAAATTATAATTCAATTGTATGTTAATTGTTATCCTTAAAAGATAAAGCAATGTCTATTAAGTAATAAAAAATATTCAATGTTAAATATGTAACGTAAGTCAAGGAAGGACATAACAAACACTATATTTATGAGTAATATAATTCGTTGGAACTAATTAACTAATTTTATTATCTATTTAAAAAACGCGTATGTTATGGATTCGCTTTGATAAATACAGGGTAAATAATATACTTTGAAAATAAGTGGAATTTTTAAATAAATGTTAAACTTACATTCTTAGAGTAGGAACTTAATCTATACATATAATAAAACTGTAACTAAGTCGTTCATTATCTGTACATTAAATATGTTTTGGAAAATCTTATTGAAATAGATATTATTATGGATACAGAGGCCGAATATATAGTTTTTAGATTTTTTGTCAGTCTGTCTGTCTGATACCGCATCACGGAAAAACCACTGGAGGGATTTTAATGAAATTTGGTATGATAAGGCTGGTTATCTGGGTCAAGATATAGGATACTTTTTACAGCGGGAAAATATCTCGTCTCTAAGAAATAGATACAAAACGTTAAAACGTAGGGACGAACCCGAGCGAAGCGAGGGTGAGTCGCTAGTACACACATATAATAAAATTCTAACTGAGTCGAATCTGTATTGTATGCATTAAATATTTTTTGAAAAATCTTATTGAAATAGACATTATTATGGATACAGAGGCCGAATCTATAGTTTTAAGATTTTTTGTCTGTCTGTCCGTCTGTCTGTTACCGCATCACGGAAAAACCACTGGAGGGATTTTGATGAAATTTGGTATGATGATAGTTGGTTATCTGGGTCAACATATAGGATACTTTTTACAGCGGGAAAATATCGCATCTCTAAGAAATAGATACTAAACGTTAAAAGTGTTTGAGTCGCTAGTACATACACCTATAATAAAATTCTGAGTCTAATCTGTATTGTATGCATTAAATATATTTTGAAAAATCTTATTGAAATAGTCATTATTATCGATACAGAGGTCGAATCTATAGTTTTTAGATTTTCTGTCTATCTGCCTGTCTGTTAGTCTGGGAAAGCATCACGAGAAGACCACTGGACAGATATTAATGAAAAGTACAATGATAGCTGGTTGGTCCTTTTTGCGGCGGGAAAATATCTCATCTCTGAGAAATCTATACTAAACGTTAAAACGTAATTAGGGACAAACCCGACCAGAACGAGGGTGAGTCGCAAGTGACACAAAATAAATTACTTTAACAGAGGGATATTGAAGATTACAAAAAAAAATTAACACCATCAATATGATGATTGAGCGAGAAAGAAATTAAATATCTGTTGTTATTGTAGTAAGATATTTATTTTTTAATTATTTGTCCTTTTGGTGACTGTTGTATGAACATTCCATATATTCATGCTACATAAAATTAAAATAATACGAAACTTGATCGAAATTTTGCCTTGAAATTACGAAACTAACTCCGAAAAAAAAAACCATATGTATAAAAAGCTAATTTTAACGGAAACGTTAGATATAATTAAAGTCTTTGTAACAATGTGTTTATTAGTGATTAAAATAATAATAATTAGTGTTTACTTATTACTTATCAATAACTATACTATCGTATGAAAAATGAGTTGGGCGAAACGATTAACGGAGCTTTTAGATTATGTTTAAATAATGTTTCAACACAGACTTGATATCCAACGATATTAAACAATAAACAGTTTTCTTAAAGGAATAAAAATAAACTTATGACTTTTTAATCTATTAATTACTTATTTTTAAGTAAAACATCACGTCGATCAGATGCTTCGTCGATGCGTGATAGAAAGCCAAACAAATAAGTTTTTTAAACTTAAATAATAAATATGAATATTTATACGGATATAATAATAGAAGCTTACCCGCATTGCTTGTGGACTTCTTGAGTAATCCACTGGTTGGCATCGGAAACTGTATGTAGTGAACCATCCACTTTTAATGCTCTGCAAAAATTGTACATATGAATATAAAGAAAAACTTCAAACATCTATTAATATATGTTAGAAACGCGTTTAGGGAGTACCTACGTCTTATCATCCGATTAACATTGCTCTTATTATATGATTGAAAAATGAAAATATAATTTGTAAGAAAAAAGGGATCCATTTTTTTTATTAGCAAGCAAAATTAAGTTTTTTTAATATATTTTGCACGATAACTATTTTATCTTATGAAAATTATACCCTTATTGCTAAGCGAGTCAGCAGGGAAAAGGTTTTTTACATTTTCCTTTACCACGTAGTCTATTTAATTACTAACAAATATAAAAAGCTAAGCTAATATACAAACATATTAGCACAAAATAGCCGAGTAGCACAGAAATATATTATATTATGTAACTGAGATATAAGTAAACAATGGCAACTAATTACCTCGTAAAACAGCCAGATGCTAAATACTACTTGAAAGAGATTGTACCATATGAGAACTTGCTTCAATTCAAACGGTTTTCTATTTTCCATGAGCTTCGGTCCAAGAATCTAGTAAAAATAATTTTAAAAAAAATTATACAGTAAAATTACAAATCTTCTTTAATATAATTAAATTGTTTTTTTTTTTAATAATTGGCATAAATCATTAAATAAACGAAACATTTCTGTTAACTAATTGACTCACGCCTGTTGGAAATGAGATAGAGCTGATTTAAGAAGATAAACTGTGATCGTTCTTGACGATGATAGATTTAATTATAATTATTTTCTCGTAAATAAATGTAAACAAAAAAACGAACACTTTTTTAAATAGAAAAAAAATAATTAGATGAATGTTTATATATAATAATCGGCATACTTACTTTAACAATGAAGACATATGTGAGGCAGATAGCTAGTGTGGGAAACGGTGAAGACATTAGAAACCAGTCTTTGACTCTTTGGTCACTTTTATTGTCCATCAGGTCATGGTAGCCATCCACTATAGATTTTACAAACTCCATTTTCACTGTAACAATATAAGGACAATATGAGAAGACCAGACAAAAATAATTGATTTCTAATTTTATATCGACGGTTATTCTAATTTATATTGCCAACATTTGATTTACATACGATAGTTATATACGCGGCTATTAAAGCTAAATGCGTGACTACAATACGACGTCTGATAGTGGTATGCTGCAATTTGGTCAATTTCTTAAGAGCCAAGTCAAGTTTATCGAATGTCAGGGTGAACCGCCTCCCTCTACGGTTACAATTCGCCAGCGAACGTATGATTCAATTTCATATGTGTATCCTTGTTAATTTCACTATTAATTTTGTTAATAATTAATTTTACTTAATAAATATTTATTTTACCTACTTATTATTAAAAGTCTACACGTGTACATGAAGACTTTTATTATATTTATTACAATTTTTTGTGAAGTATATTGTTGTTGTGGGCATATATGGCACGTGTCATTTACGACAAGGTTTCAGTTTTTGATTGTATAATTTACTTCATATTTTAATAAATCTTTACTTAATCTTGTATTCATAAAGTAATTTATTAATCTGTAGAATAAATAATCTATCTTTTTGGACTTTTTCTCAGATTTATTTTAATTTTTGGTTTTCGCCATATCTGCTGCAAGTTTCTGAGGAATTGAGCATCGCGCAAACTATTTGATGCTACGGCAATTAGCATGTCTTCTAAATACCGCCGAAGTAACAGTACACCTCAAATCAATCGGAACTGGCAAAGTTAGTAGGACCCTTTTGTCAAGTAGGAAATGAGCTGATGATCATCAAACGCCTGAACAAATCTTTATAAATTATAGCTAAGAATTACCTCGATCATATCAGCATTTTAACAAAACCGCATCAAAAGCGGTCTATTCGTTTAGGAGCTACGGTGACACAGACAGACACGTCAAACTTATAACACCCATTTTTTGCATCGGGTGTTAAAATGGATTTCTTATATTGGATTTAATCACTATCAAATGCCAATAGAGATGACCTGATACATTAAATGTATATGTATAAGAAAAAAATGTGAACTGAAAATATTACTTAATTGCGCATAATACTAAAAAGACCATCTAGTCCATGGTAAGCTACGAGGCTTGTGTTATGGAGACCAGATAGTTGATACACTACACATATATAACTTTAAATACAAACATATTATAAATATAAATACCCATGACCGGAGTACAAACATTCGTGCTCATCACCCAATTGAATGTCCTCAGCGGGAAACGAACCCGCGACCGCACAGCAAGTAGGATCACTACAAACTGAGCCAAACATATCGCCAACATAAACCAAACAAACACTTAGAATTATATTATTATATAAAGGAAATAGGAAGGAAAAAATAATTCAAAATTGCGTTTATCAAAGAAAGACCTCTAAAAGGTTAAAATTGTAAAACAGTACTCGTAGGCATTACAGCTAACAAAATTATTCTCACGTAACAGAACATGCTATAATAACAATCTAAGTGAAGTAAATTATTGTGCTCAACTGTTCCGTTAAAAAAAATTACTAAGAAGACAATTGAATTCAATAGCAACGTTTAGTAAAATTAGTATAGTTTTACATAGGTATGTGTGTAAATTATCTCTTAAAGATATCTATATATTCATTGGATGATTAATTATTATCGTTTATACTAGCATTGCCCGCGGCTTCACCCGCGTTCAGATGACCAAAAATCAAATTGTTAGGTTTTACATATTAGTATACTCTTACAGTACAGTTTTTGTATTTTTTCTCAGAAATAAGATATTTACCCGCGGTAAAAAGTACCCTATATGTTGACCCGGATTACCGGCTATCACCATACGAAATTTCATAAAAAATTCTCCAGTAGTTTTTCTTTGATGCGGTAACAGACAGACAAAAATTCTAAAAACTATAGATTCGCCCTGTGTATTGATAATAATGTTCATTTCAATAAGATTCTCCGAAAAAATATTTGATGTACAGATTCAGCTTCGTTACAATTTTATTATATGTATAGATTATCTATTTTTTTTGTAGCTTGGGAGAGTAAAGTCACGTAAAAGCATATATTACTATTATAGTTTCTATATATATATATGTATATATATATATATATATATATATATATATATATATATATATATATATATAATATCGTCATGGTCAGTCAATACAATAAAAATCACTGGTGATTATACATAGGAAAAACGGTGTTATAAATGCACTCTAACCTTTTATTACATACATATTTTATAGTTAATATTACGAATAAGAGACCTTGTGCTTGTGCGCTTCTCTTAATTTTTTGGACTATATACTATATTTATTTATTTTATTTTGTTACTTATCGTGTAATATTTATTATTGTCTAATCTTACTTTAGTTATCCTATTGAATTAAATATTTTTATTTTTGGATCCTCGTTTTATTTTCAAATGAACTTTTAGCTAAAGTTTATTAATATGTTACTGGATATCATCAGTATCTCGTAGTTTTTATAGATAAAAAATAATATTTACAATATTCGATCACAGAATAAAATTTATAAAATTTTATAACACGTTATTCGTGTGATAGCATTTTTAAAAATAGCCAAAACGTGGTGTGGCTTACTCAACCAAACCGCAACATGAATGTCTTGTAGCTCATATGACCTTTGAGCTTTTCTAAATTATTTTTTAATTTAAATTATTATTTATAATTTTGGTATTTATTATTTATTTCATTATTTTCACAAAATAAAAAATATAGAATATTTTAATAATTCTAATGATATAATAAAATATTCTATAATGTTATAATTATCATTCATTTATAATAATGTTTATTTCAATAAGATTTTCCAAAAAATATTTAATGTACAGATTTGACTCCAGTTACAATTTTATTATATGTATAGATAACAGTTAAAAGTGAAATATATTTACTCCAATAGTTTTTAAAAAATTCTAAAAAATTAATTAAATTTCTAAGAAATTTCTTGTTAACTGTAACGCCGGCGTGTCCGCGATCGTGGAGGGAATATCATTAATTTTGAAATCAATAAGTATCTAGTTACTTTTATTTGATAAATATTTATTATAACTTTATTTTTATCTCTTTTCATGTTTTTAATCTATATATTTACCTGTACCTGTGTAACCTGATAAATGTAATTAAATATATTATAATTTTTGTTATTACCCAACTGCAGCGTAGCCTAAAGGAGGGTTATGTGTTTGACCTGTATCATGGACGTTGGAATGTATATGTGTCGTTAGATGCAGGACAACGCGAGTTTCATAGGGTATATAGATTCATTAAAAACTAAAATGACGAATCTTAACCACTAGAACCCCGCTGGTGCCTGTAGGCACCACTTCCGGCGTTACCGTCAAACCCCGCTGGTGCCTATAGGCACCACCTCGCCCGCTGCACTTTTATCACTTATTACAAGACGAAATCAGTTTATTTTATGCTAAATGAGTGATACATACAAACTTTGGAATTTTTATCAAATTAACGCGTCAAAAATCGTTGAAATTTCAAGTGAAGCGCTCGCTAATTGTTATTGTTTTTGTGTTATTTCAAATCTTTAAACTAGTGAACTCGTGCCGTAAACTTATGAATATTTATTGTTCGTGTTCTTTGCCACTATTGAAATACTAATTAGTGTACAATCACGTCATAAAATTTTGATGTATAAAATTCGTAAAATAAGTCGCCATTATATAACAGGCAGTGGTAGCCCAGTGGTAACGCGCTCGCTTGGGAAACTGAGTGAAGCGGGTTCAAATCCCAGGTCTCGCACCTCTGATATTTTCATGTGCGAATCATTTCTAACATGATTACCACTTGCCTTACGGTGAAGGAAAATATCGTGAGGAAACCTGCATGTCTGAGAGAACCTAGCAAGTTTTCGAAAGACATGTGAAGTCTGCCAACCCGCACTTGGCCAACGTGGTGGACTATGGCCTGATCCCCTTCGTATTGAAGGGAGGCCCGTGCCCAGCAGTGGGACGTTCAAAATTGCGGAATACATATAACATGAATTTTGATATATTACCTACTCTATGATTTTGTGCCTGATAAAGGTAAATCACTAAAGAAAAACTAATATAATTTCATATTTTCAGTTGTTTCTAGCATATTTCGGAACTTTTATAATATAAAATACTAGCAGAACCCGCGGCTTCGCTCGCGCTAAAACTACAAATATTTAAAAAGGTGGTTTCATACAAACTTTCATATCCTATTTAACTGAAAAATGCTAAAACACGTTTTTATTTAATTTTATTGAAGAGCATTTATACCAAGTTTCAAATAATTCTGATCATATTTTTTTTTTTGGATTTATATCACTCTCCAGCCGTCCAACTATCTCCACACAAAAAATCACGCCAATCCGTCACTCCGTTTCGATGTGAAAGAAGGGCAAGCAAACAAACAAACAAACACTTTCACATTTATAATATTAGTATGGAAGTTTATTTACAAACTTCGATCAACAATACGAGTACTACTAGATAACGTGTTACATACAAAACCAAAGCTAAATTTTGTCCGCGCGATTATACACTGCTTCATTTGTATACTAACGAACCAAAACAAAGTCTTATAATAGTTTTATTTTCAACCTAATTAACACCTTAGCACTTTGTAATAATGTCACAAATCTTCAAATTATTATCATACACTTACAATCATTTCGTAAGTTTTATAATCTTTATTGTAAAATCAAACTTATTTAAAAAAATTCAAAGCACTTTTTCCCATTGTTGCTTTGTGAGCTAAATCGTTATATTTTGTTTCTGTTTGCTTCGAAGAATTTGCGCATGTATTGGCCTACCTGGGCCAACGTTCTTAGCGGATTTAAAATTGTTCAAAATTTCATTTTTATTTTATTTCGTAGGTTAAATCTTAAAATATTGTCTTAATCTACATGTATTTACCGAAAATAAGACACTCCGTCTGAAAAATTTCTTCTTCGTACATTATTTCTGTAACTTTTAAATAAATATTGCAC